GGCGGGGGTGGGGGCTGTGCATCTGGCCTAAGAAGGAGGCGGGGCTGCTGCACACCTGCACCCCGGGACCCGTGGGTTGTGCACCTGGGCCCCAAAGGGGGGCAGCTCGGGATTGCTTCCCCCACTGCCTCCTGCATCTAGGAGGACCAGCACCGATCCCACGAGAACTGCCTGGACGCTGCCTCCGACGACCTGCTGGATCTGCAGAGGAATTTACCCGAGCGGCGGGGCCGCAGCCGCGAGCTGGAGGAATACCGCCTGCGGAAGGAGTACCTGGAGCACGAGGTGAGGCGCCGGCTCGCGCCCGCCCCCTCGTGGCCGCGCCCGGCCCTGCAGCCCCCGTTCCCCGCGCTCAGGGCCGGCGAGGTGCTTGCGCGCTGCAGTCTGAACACATGTGCTTACGCGGGGGGTGCGTCTTGTTGTTACGGGATCACAGACCAGCCGCTGATCCGAAACACTGTTAGGGGACATTCTTTTTATAATTTTTTCTCCTAAGAGTATGTTTGGCTTTTCCTAAGTTGAAGGAAAAAGTGTATTTTAGATGAATTGTTTCCTCTAATACCTAGCTAGTAATAATAGGCTGTATTTATGGAGCTTGTATTAATTGCATGGATTATCTTATTAAATTATCTAACAACTCTGGGGTAGGGACTATGATCCTCTCTTTATAGATGAGGAAAATGAGGCATGGAGAGAACAAATAACTTGTCAAAATCTGATCCATGTACATGCTACTCCAGTCATTTATGGTCTTAACTAAGGAATGACCTTTATTAGCTCTATGATCTATCCAAAATGTTTTAGCCCCCAACCCCCACGCAAATTCTGCTTTGGTCTGATGTTGGTGCACATTTTAGGACCTAAGCAGCAAGTGTAGGTGAGGGGCAGTGTGACATCCGTGGTCAGAGGTGATCCACAGGCAGAGGCCAGAGAGCGATCATCAGCATTGCCCGCTGGCTCTACCACTGGGCCCCTGTGCTACCCTTTCCCTCCCTGGTCGTCCCTCTGGCTTTTTGTTGCATTCAAGGCTGTGAACACACCACTTCCCAGAGGCCCTGTGTGGGGCCGACAGGACCCAGGTCTGCCTGCAGAATTCCAGCGCCTCCCCGCCACTGACCAGCAACATCTCCAGCAGCCACTGGCCCTCCTGAGCCCTTCTTTCCTTCTTTATGAGCAGGGACAGTGATGTGTGCCTCACCCGGCTTCCCAGGCTTGGATGATGACCTCATGGGATGGAGGGTGGGAAAGCACTAAGCAAACTGGGAACCATGTCTGGAGGTGCTAGTTACAGAGTCCTTAGGAGTGTTGAGCAGATGAGGGCATTAGCATCACGCTCTCCAGATGCCAATTGTTAAAATGCTGTTCAGACCCAGCCAGGTTTCAGTGCAGACGTGAGCCGTTTGCGTGCAGTGCTGCGCAGATCTCAGGCGTGGTGGGCCGCGGACCTTTCAGTGTCTGGGAGATGTTAGTTACAGCGCTACACGGTGTTGGCTGTCAGATCAGGGCTGGGCTGATCGGTGTTACTATAATACTGTCCAGATAACGGCAAGGTCTAACTCGCTACTGCTGTGTTCTGCAAAGGCTGTTTGCAAGTACAATGCAGACGTTAGCTGTCCGCCCAGCCCTCTCTCTGCAGAAGTTTTTATCCCCATAGCTTCATACATGCATGAACTGTCTGTCCCTCACGATTCCAGCTTCCTGGATCCAGGTGGTGCTCAAAGTGGGGGTGTCTGTGTGTTGCAGAAAAACCGCTATGAGACATACGTGCAGCTGCTGGTGACCCGTCTGCACTGCCCTTCAAATGACCTGGACCTGTGGGAGGAGCAGCTGGGGAAGGAAGCTGGAGGCACCCAGGAGCCCAAGCCCAGCCTGAAGAAGTCCCACTCGAGCCCATCTCTGCACCAGGACGAGGCCCCCACCACGGCCAAGGTGAAGCGCAACATCTCAGAGCGCAGAACCTACCGGAAGATTATCCCCAAGCGGAACCGCCATCAGCTGTGAAGCATGTCACCTCACAGAACTTGGCCCCTGCTCTGGGGTGGACCTGGGATTAAAACCCTGCGGGAACCCATTTCAGTGGCACCATGAGGGGGGTGAGGCCCCTCCCTTCCCTGCTGGAGGACAGCCTGTCTCCTCTATCTCCCTCTCTGAGCTTTCCAGATACTGCTCTGCCCTGCCCCCCATGGCAGGTCAACTGCCCCAGTCCCTGGCCACTCCTGAGGGAGGCCAAAGATTTGGCTCCATTCTGAGTTTGTCCCATGTCACTCTTCACTCCTCCAAAATCCAGAGTGGCCACTTTTCCTGGGCCTGGCGCAGCTCAGCACTTGTTGGGGAATCAGAGCATGATGGTCCCTGAGCTTCCTGGAGAGAGCCTTGGGCTGCAGAGGCCTCTGGGCAGTCATGCCCTGGGGATGGTCTTGCTCTGGGAATCAGGTGACCTGCTGGCAGAGGCCCTGGAAGACCCCGGCCAGCCTTCTGTGACTGAGGAAGCAGGGTTGCCCGGGCCCTGCTCAGGGGCCAGGGGTGAGGGGCAAGTTCTCAGGGCCAGGACCTCGGCAAGCAGGCAGGCTGCAGGGCTCAGTGAAGCTGACTCTGGGCCTGGGCCTTTGTCTCCTCTTCTCTACAGTGGGCCCTGCACCAGGGCCAATGAGAGTGCCCCGCCTCCCATGCCAATTGCTAATCAACAGAGCAGAGCCAATGGCCCCAAAGCGGTGGAGGCTCCAGAGCTCTGGGGAGCCCTGAACAAGGAGCCTTTGTGTCCCCAGAGCCAGGAAAAAGGTTCAGATCCTTGGGGAGGCAGAGGGTAAGATGTGGGGACACATCCCCTTGGGGCTCTCTTGGCACGAGCTGCAGCTAAGGAGTTTGAGGGTCGTGGTGGAGGCCTGGACCCCCCTCCCACACACTCCATCCCTTAAATCTCCATTCCCCAGGGCCACCAGGCCCCCGCTGGACCCCTGCCCTCCCTGGGAAGTCCCCTTGAGCTGCCCTCTGGCTGCTTTCAGCTGGATCTCTTCTCAGGGTGGTTGGGTGGGGGGTTCTGGACACTCACAGATCTGAGGCTGTGCCTGTGCGAAGGAGGCTAGGCTGGAGGAGTAGCCACCATTGTCCCTGTTCAGCCAAGTGTGCCCACAGGCTGCTCGCCAACAGGGGCCTCTCTGCTGCCCGCCTGCCGCCTGCTGGCTGACGCACTGCCTCTCCAGCCTTCCTGCCGAGCCTCCTTCCTCCTGTCTATGCTTGTAACCACCCCTGTGGCCTGGAACTCCCCCAAGTGGGGCTGGCCTTTGAGGGCCACGAGAGGTTTCTGATCAGGACCTGGGGCTGAGCCATGCACCCAATGGGTGTTTAATAAATACAGGCCAGTGAAGAAAGGTATGCACGAGTGTGTGGGGGGAGGGTTGGGCAGCTGGGGCCACCTGGAGCTTGTCAAACTGTATCCCCTCTGCCCTGCGAGTATATGCACGTCTGTGACTGTGTCTGTGTGTGTATGTGTGTCTTGCATGTGTATACGTGTGCATGCGTGTCTGTGCACGTGTGTAGAGCACTGGGTGTTTGTGTGCAAGAGGCACACATCTACTGGAGGGAACCTCAGAATCATTTATTCACCCACTCATTCATTTACTCATTTCACAAATACTATTGACCACTTTTCATGGGCCAGTGCTAAGGAACTAAAAAATGAACATGTCCCTGACCTCCCCAGAGGTGACAGTTCTGCTCTTTGGTTCCCAGCTGTCGGCATAGAGGCCCTCATCTTGCTGTGGAGGTGAACTGAAGACACCTTCCCACCTGCGCCCAGGGGTTTGGATTCAGTAGGTTTGGTTCCTGGCTGAGGACATGCACTCCTAAGCCCCCTGGGTGGCTCTGATGTACAGTGCAGGTCACAGCACAGCACAGAGTCCGATTGTCTCGTGTTATGGAGGTGGAAGCCTGGTTTCAGGTGGACATGACTTGGCCCAGGACTGACACTTAAGCTACATGGCCTTGCATGAGTTATTTGACCTCACTGAACAAGTATCCTTATTTCTAAACCAAGAATGAAAGGCAGAGGTTTGTCTGCAGGTGCGCATGTGTGTAACACTTGATGCTTCTTTACTCATGGACAACTGGAACCTCCCTGTCACTTGGGCACGTGAGGCCTGTGGAGCCAGGGGATGGTGCCCAGGCCCTGGCCAGAGCTGCTCGGCCACACTGTGCCGGAGGCCTGGTGGGTGGAGACCGGGTTGCTGGGCTGCAGTTACGGAAGGTGGCCACCAGGGGGCGGGCTTGCATCTTCCTGGCTCCTGGGCCCAGGTGTCAGTGGCAGCACTGGGCTCACTGGGGGTAGGAAGTCAGTCAATCCTGCCCATCCCCAGAACCAGGGTGGCCCAGGGAGGCCTCCCACATCCAGACACGTCTCCACCACGCACAGGTTAGGGACTTTGGCATCGTCCTGTAGATGAAAGGAAACATTTTTCTGGAGCCTTATGGGGACAGCTTAGAGCTCCCCACAGAATTGTCCCAGATGACCCACAAAAGTGAAAACAACCCCAATCCTGGGTTTGGGGCAGGTCAGACCCACAGGCCTACATCTGGCCTTCTTTCCTCCCCACCCTCCTTTCCCAGGGGCTGTGGATTAGTCCACCTCTGCAGGAGGGGAGGGCACAGGTTCTCAGAGAGGAGCTTGGGTTCCGTAGGCTGGTAGAAGCGTGTCTTGGGTTCCTCCTTCCTATCAGGGGAGCTCGGGCTCCAGGGCCCTGACCTGTCATGACTCGGGTGGTAACCCAGATATAAACTCTTCCGTCTCTCAGCGTCTTGGCTATGTCTGGCTTTCTGCTGATGACATCACCCATCTGTTGTTTGCCAGGCACCAGGGAAGAATAAAAGGTCACTAAGGCCTCGGCCTGGGTTCTTTCCTCTGGGGGCTTAGAGTCAGAGGGAGACAAGTGGGGTGTGTCAGGGTTGGAGGGAGCTGGGTAGGAGGGTGGGGGGAAGTGGGTTGAGGAAAGCACGATGTAGGATGGGGGCTGAGGCCAGATCTTAAAAGACCTCACGTGAATCCCAGGAGTGTGATTTTCCTGTGGAAGAGGGACACGCGCACGGCTTGGAGACAGCCTGGGAGCTTTGCTTTAAGAAGACAAAAATGACTTGAGTGAGTAGGACCAACTGGCAGGGTGGGAACATGGCCTGGAGATGCTCCATGCTATTAGTGCAACTCCTCTGTAAGTCCAAAATAAAAAAGGAAGGCACTGGCCGCACACCTGGCCCTCCTCCTTTGTTCCCTCAACCCCCATGTGCTCGAACCTACCTACGGGCTTCCTGAATGCCATGCTCTCTCTGATGGTTCCTCCCCCTGCCCCTCTGCCCACACCTTTGCCTCTAGCTCTTCTGGATGCTTGTGTCCCTCACCATTAACTGTGGCTCACACCTTTACCTGTCCCTCCCTCTTCCCTTTTCTGGAGAGAGATGTGCCTTCTTGGGGCTGACCCCTCCCCTGAGCCCATACACAGCCCACCCCTGTCTCCCTCAGGGGTCCTGGCTGGGTCCTGAGGCCTAATCTCTACCCCCCTCATCATCTCGCCTTGCAAACACCTTCGAGTATCACCACCATGAAGAAACAGATGGTCTTTCCAGCCGTTTCCCTCCCTCACCTGACTCCTGGCCCCCATTCACGCCTTGAAAATTGCCTTCCACCCCACCCTTCCTCAAATGCCACCACCTCAGAGGGGCCACTGATGACCCTCAACCATCAGATCCAGCGTGTTCTCAACCTTCATTCTTTACCCCTCTTAGTGACCTTTTTTTTTAAATTCTCACCTGAGGATATTTTTCCCATTGCTTTTCAGAGAGAGTGGAAGGGAGAGAGACAGGCAGATATCAATATGAAAGAGACACCAATTGATTGCCTCCTGCACTTGCCCCAACCGGGACCGGGGATCAAGCCTGCAACCGAGGTACGTGCTCTTGGCAGGAATCGAACCTGGGACCCTTCAGTCCACAAGCTGATGCTCTAACCACTGAGTCAAACCAGCTAGGGCTCTCAGTGACCTTTGGTCCACTGGCCACATGACCTTTCTGATCTGCTCAAGGTCATCACCTTGGCAGCAGGCCCTGGAGTCAACTGCCCGGGGGGGCCAGTCCCCGCTGCCCCTTATATCTGACCAGGGGCCAGTTCCTTAGCCTCCTGTGCTCCCATTTGCTGCTCTATAAAATGGGATAATAGCATTGCTTACCCCATGGGATCCTTGGAGGATTACCTGAAGTTATGCACATAAACATCTGAGATCGATGCCTGGTGCAGAAGGAAATCAGGCTGGTTCGCCATTAGCATACAGCCTCGCTGGCCTCGCCTCGCGCACCTGCCCCTCCTCTGGGCTCTGGCTCAGGCTCTGCCCTCAGACAGGTGAGTCTTCCTCGAGGCTGGGCCTTTGCACACGGCTCTCCCTGCCTGGATGCTGCAAGTCACAAATCTCAACTCAGATGGGCTTTAGCAGGAAAGGACATTGGCTCCAATAACCAGATGATCTGTGTCCAGGTCAGGCGAGGCTACTCCAGGGCTCCCTGAGCTCCATCTCCCAGACTTAGGAGGCAGGAGTAGCCTCCTCGTACCAAGATGGCCCAGCAGCTCCCCAAGACTCCTCTTCTGGATGCAAATCCAGCCCACAGAAAATATCTGCTTCCTGGAAAGTTTCTTTGAGCAGCCTACCCTGGGCCACGGCCCATCCCTGAGCCAATCAGTAGGTCAAGGGCTTCTGGTAATCAGAAGCCATCTTCTGAGATGCGAGTGGGGTGGGGTAGAGGCAAACCCCCCAAAAGATGGGCACTGGCACCAGCTATGGAGAAACTAAGTCTACTAGTGGTGGGAAGAGGAGAAGCCCACTGTCATCCAGATGCCAGCTCCTGCAGGAAGTCTTCCTGAGCCCTCCTCCCAGTTGTTCTCTGTCACACCGAGTCTACAACTCTGCATCCCTCCCCTGCCTCCTCTCCTTTCCCCTCTCTGCTCCCAAGAGAACATAAGCTCCTGAAGGTGGGGACAGGCAGTCTGGCATCCACTGCCTCCCCCGGGCCCGTCGAGGGCCCGACACAGGGCAGAAGACGTGAGCCTCAAGCTTTACCCTCCCTAGGTTCTAGCGCTCCGGCCCTCCTGGTTCTTCTACCTGCATGTTTGTTTTCTGTCTTTCCCCCCTTTCCCTCCCGCCCCTGAACTCAGCTGTTCCACTGGGTCTGGCTGCCTGCGGGGCCTTGGGAACTTCGGGAACCCTCCTAATC